CCCCAAAACCCCAAAACCCCAAAACCCCAAAACCCCTTTTTGGGGAACCAGACTTGAAATATTTTAAATGGAAGAAAAAAGTAGGAAGAAAGGACCCAAATCTGGCAAAGAGAGATCGAAAGAGTTCAGAGAGAGGCAGAAAAGGTACCATAAGACTCAGACTGAACAGATCAGGAGGTTACAAGAGAGGAATTTTGAACTAGAAGCAAAGAATAAGCAACTTGTGAAAGAGAATTCTGATCTTAAGAAGGACATTAAAGATCTTAAGGAGAATATTTTAGGAACCTCTTATGTGAAGCCTTGAGATATTGATAAACCTCAACATAATCCGAAGTTTGACCATCCTCTTCATGAATATGAAGATTTTATGTATAATCATTTGGCTCAGAAGTTGCAGAAGAATCCTGAAGAAGTAAGGTTCTCCACTTGGGAGCAAACTCGTGAGAAGGTAGCAAACTACAGGTATTTTTAAGGAAAAATTTCTAGTGATGAAAGGATAGACTATCTTAAATAAGCGATTTAATGGTAAATGACACCCTTATCTGTAGATATCCTGGACAACATGCTAAATCTTCACTCAAAGACATATCAAGCTTTGAATAGAAAAATTACGATTAAGAATTATCTCAAAAAGACAAAGATCAAATAAAAGATACAAGAAGGGTTTAGACAAAACTTCAGAATTGCCCGATCCAGAAGATGTCTATCTTGACTGCCAGTTTAGCACAGAGAATTTAGAATTTGTAAAGAGAAATCAAGACTACCTTATGAAATATATGAAGCAGATTAAAAAAATGTAAGTACAAACTTATATTTTAGTGCCCAATCTCTTGTAGTACTACGCAACAAACTACTCAACATCTACTCAGAAGAAAAACGAATGTACCACAACCCAGAATTCAATTACGACTACAAAAAATCCGATCTCGCTTCAAAATTCAAAGTAATAGCCACTCTCAAACACTCTTGCCTACTCAGTCCCCACTACATATTCGATATCCCAAAGAAAATTCACTCTGGCTCCACTTACCAAGAAGGGGAGCTCACTGACTAAATCTCTAACAGATTATATAAAAATTCTGAGTGGGGAATATAGGGGTTTTGGGGTTTTGGGGTTTTGGGGTTTTGGGG